ATACACAGTCGCTCTACTTCACAGTAGATCCTTTAGGATGTCCTCCCAAAGTGAAGGGCGCTGTACCAAATGCAAAGATAATTATTAAAAGTAATATTGATTATCAATTATTAACATTATATTCACCAACATGTTACCAATGGGCAACACGTTGAGATGCTACAGTTTTAGTTTGTGGCAAGCAATGCAGAGTGAGGGAGAGTCCTGTAGAGTCCTGTAGCTCAGTGGTTAGAGCACTCGCTTTGCAGGCGAGAGACCTGAGTTCAATTCCAGGCAGAGGGCGAAACCTTGGGCAAGTTTCCTTACTCCACACAGAGCCTAATAATAATCCCTCCAAAACCATAAACAATAATAAATTGGTCATTTTCAATCTACGACTGTTTGTGGGACATTGCTGTGCGCAATTGGCTGCTGCGTTCGCCCACAAATATACAGTCAATTCACTTTACAGTGTGTTCTGTGAAGCGCTTTGGGACGTCCTCCCGACGTGAAAAGCGCTATATCAAATGCAAGGATTATTATTATTATTATTATTATTATTATAATGAACATAACCTGCTTCATTCTGGACGTATCAAACTTAACAAATACCCTCTGTGAATCTGGGGAATGTAACATTTATTTCATGACCTAGCTCATTAGATTATCATAGATTTCTTCGAGCAATGAAAGACATTATTAAAGAGCAAGGTTCAGCTACTCTATGGAATACTGCATGTGCCAGGCCTAGATTAGCAATCAGTATGAAATCTATTGGTTATTCAATTTTTTATCTGTAAAATTTTGGAAAAGATAAATAATCTTAGATGGAAAATCTAAATTGTTTTCATCTCGAAAGCTATGGCTCATTTTCTGCATTTTTACTGAAATAGTACAGCAGAATTAGCTGGTGAAATTGCTTATTTTTAACATAATGATGTATTCCTTCACATTTCAAAGCATTCATTGCCGCTGGCACATCTAACATTGAACCCAAACCTGCTGGAAGGAATAACTTCAATCCACTTTCAATTTACATTTCCAACATTCAAATTGCCCTTAATGTAGCAGAAATCAAACGGGGGCCAAAATTACTTGATGCCATTCTATAGAGAGATTTGACTAATAACTCAAAATGTATGTTTTGATTTCATTCTGCAGCAGAAAAGTAGGATTACAAGTTTGCATCAAGAAATATGCACAATGTTGTAAAGATGATCTCAAGTAATGCTTCAAACAGGATTTGTGTTTAAAGCAAGTACTGTATATATGTCTTTTAAAACAAAGAAACACCACAATATAACATTTACATTCCACATTAAATTTTAAGCAGCTCATCACAAAATGTCATGCTGATTCCTAAATCCAACTACTACCCTTTAAATGGTTTAACAGGAAAAGTAGTCAAACCACAGAGTTTCCCCACACAAGTCAAAACCCACAACTGATTTTACCTAATCAGAAGCAATTTTATTTAGTGCTTAGTGCTTATTTAGTGTGATTTTATTTAACCGATGACTGCACTACTTTATTCTTTGCCCAAATTGCCTTTGGCAATTGCCCCTATCATTTATCCCTGACTGTATGTTAAATAATAAAAATAATCTTTGCAAATGAAGGAGCACTTATAGCATCAAAACAGCTCAAAGCGTCCACCTAATCAGGCAGATAGGGCACCAGTTTAACATTGACACTTTCGCCCACAAAATATACAGTCAATTGAATTTACAGTATATTCTGTGGAAGCACTTTGAGACGTCTCATAAGACACTATATGAAATGCAAGGATTATATCATTATATATTATACATATATATTATCTCATGTCAAGGAATGTTCCTCTGATGATGCAGTATTCCTAGAGTACTGCATTGGAGTGTTAACTTGGCCTATGAGTACAAGAGGTTTTGTTTTGGGGGAAATACAACCACTTGCTACCATTGGACCCAATGGGTTAATGCTGGAGGAATGATGAGGCTTGGCAAAGACCTTGTTACTTCCAGGATCTCTGATCAGACGAGTTGGAGGTGGGGTCATGCCAGGAACGTGTGCACAAACATTTCCTCGTGTTGTCTCTTCCTACCAGGTTCAACGCAATAGATTTCTTCCACCCTCCCACAAAACGGTACATATTAAAATCACAAGTAAGTGCGTGTATTTTTGGAGGAGGAAAGAAATATGCCCACTGTGTTGCTTAGGGCTTCCCTTATTTTTCACACGAGATTGGCAATGTAGTGGGTTGAACAGCAGATGTTGCAAACATACCACGGTGTATGTTACTTATTTATGCATAAATTTGGTAATAATCAGATTAATGGTATTGTTGTATATCTCAAATGATTGACTGTTGCTATTTTTTTTCAAGTTTCTTTCAGCTAACACTTCGAAGAGAGTCTCAAGAGAGTCTACTGAGGTTGTATTTAACAAACTATCAAAACTTGTAACTTGTTCCCGAGTGGAAATTCCAGTTGTTTCCACTGAACTGGTTTCTATTTGGCCACCAGTTGGAACTAGGTTTTGAGACATGGTTCAACTGGCCAACTGGTAACCAAGTAGATGTTTATAGAGAGCGACTGAAATCTTTTCTAACTACGTTTCAATACAAAGTTCACAGCTATGTGTGAGAATTCTCACAGCTCAGCCTTTCATCTGGTTAACGAGCCCACCGTCATATCTCGCTTCTCAAAGTTCTTTCTGTTTAAATGCAGAGAAATACCTCTGGGTGTTTTGGGTGCTGCAGTGTCTGACAGAAGTAAACAGAATGCATTCTTACATGAACAAGACTGAGGCAACAGGACAGTTTTACTGAAAACTCCCAGTAGGAACCAATAAGAAACCAATTCACACAACATGTTGCCAGCCCAACTAGCACATAATTGGTATGATCCAGCCAATATTTTTAAAGCCTGGTCTGTTCCAAGACAAATTCAGCTTTCTGGAACACCACAACAACAAAAAACAATTCAAATGTCAAACTCTCAACAGATTAAAAATTTAAGCATCTGCATTCTCCCTAAATTAATAGGAACAGTTTCATCTAAATCTTCTTTCACTGAATGTCGTGCAAATTTGGATTTGCAGGTTTCTAGAATAGAACCTGGCGAGTGCTAAAAGCATTCAGCTGTCAGTTTATGTAAGAATGAAATATATTTCAGTGGAGTATCTACAACTTGATTGAAAATAATACAAGTTATTGTGCTTAGGTAAACTCTTGGAATTTCTACAAGGGTACATCTGTACTTTTGTTGAAGTTTGTTTATTCAAAGCATTCCATTAGTTTCAATTTAAATAATAATGCAGAAGTAAAGTTAAATAATACTACAATGTAGAGTGTGGTATTATAATATTACGTTCGCCTATAAATACACAGTCATTCTACACTAAAATCCTGTGAAGCACTTTGAGATGTTCTCCCAACGTGAAAGGTGCTATAATCAAAATGCAAGGATTATTATTATTTTTACTTGTGTCCTGTATCTGGTTCATCTTTAAGACATGTATTTTATTGAATATATTAGTTAAAATATTGCTGAATAACAGAACAGAGCTTACCAAAATCCTAGACAACAAATAAAATCAAGTTATTGCAGTTATATAGCACCTTTCACGTAGGGTAATGGCGTGCATAACAGAGATGGTGCCATACACTAAAAAGAGAGGTGAGAGTTCCCAGTTAGCTTAAGGTTATAAGATTAGTAACCAATCAAATAGACTTTCCGAAGAAGCGATGGAAATGTTGCAATTGATATAATCTCTTCTACTCTTTCCTATATTCCATGTAAATGCTCACACCTACCTCCTAGTGGTTCGGTAGATAAAGCCACTGGTTATGTATGAAATTGTTCCATAAAGTGTTAGGAAATCCTGGGTTTGACTTTAGGTCTGTTCTGAATTAAACAGATCTCAGCTGTAGCAGCACCTGGTTTGGGATGGAACCAATGGAACTGTATCCCAGCATGAATTAGTGTCTTCAAGAGAAAATTATAGGGGACGGAGAAAGATTTTCCTAAGAAAATCACTCATAATGAGTCTACACTCGCTTGCACACAGGAAGGGGGAGGGACGAGAGATGAATTGGACATCCTGTGCATTTGACATGAGAAGGTCCACGTATTCTACTGTTTTTACAGTAAGTTGGTCAGAGGATCAAAGGTCACTCTCGGCATTCATTGGGCATTAGTGGCAGAATCACCAGTGCTAAAACCACTGCTAGTTAGTTAGAAATATATCATTTTTATAGAGCATTCCTGTTTAAAAATGCTGAATTACTGCACGAAAAGGGCTGCCACTTGCAAGGTGGACAGTCTAAGCCTACAGCTGTGCAGTACTTTTCCACTCTCCTGTGACCTGAGTGAATTTCCAGGCAGTGTATGGTACAGGTACAGATGTGATCAGCTCCCTATTGTACCTTGCTCCCCAGCCAACTCAGAAATAACAACAACAACAGCAACTTGCATTTCCACTCCAGGTTGAACAAGTTTAGTGAATTTGAAGAAAAGATCCAATTTTAATAATAATAATAATAATAATCCATGCATTTGATATAGCGGCTTATCATGTCTTTAGGATGTATCAAAGCGTTTCACAGAATATTCTGTAAAGTGAGTTGACTGTATACTTTGCGGGCGAAACGCCCACAGTAAGGCTTATTGGATGTGACGATTCACCCACTGTGAATAAGTTTGTTCTTTTTTTAAAACGTCTCTCGGTATTTATTATTAATGGTTTGTGAGGGAGCGAGCGTTCCATTCCAGACACAAGGAAATTTCCATGTGTGGGTGTACACATATGGGGAACTCTCAGACCAGTATATTAAAAACTATGCCATCAATTATGTAGGATATTACAGATAACATTGAATTATATAATTTTACTAAATTTGGCACAACATTTGATCTGTTTAGTCTATTGTAATTCTTACCCATTCTGCATACACATTTTGTCACTAACTTTATTAAATTGTTGCTAAACCCAAATGCCACTTGAAATTGTAACTCATGTTTTTGTTTTTTCTTGAGTAGGACAGTCGCTTCAAGGACGAAATCGATAAGTTGACAGGATACAAGACTAAGTCGCTTCTGTGTATGCCGATTCGAAACAGCGATGGGGAAATTATCAGTGTTGCCCAAGCTATAAACAAAAATCCTGGAGGAGCTCCATTCACTGAGGATGATGAAAAGGTTGGATTTGGTTTTATGTTGATCTATCGTTTATCTGGTGAAGTGAAGCCAAGTTAAGCTTCTAGCAAAAAGCACAGTAGTTGACCTTGATATTTATGATAGTCTCAATAAAGTGTTTTATAAACTATATTGTGAGCCATAACCGTATGTGTGCTAACAGAGGAGGAGGAGGAATCACACACAGGAATCCAGTGTTGTTGGATTGACCCCACAAAGGTTAAAGGTAAATCTGCTGTAAATGTAGGACAAGTTCTAGGAAAACCAGAAGCATCTAATGTCAGTCCATCTGGAAGTGATTGTTGAGGAGCTGAGTGATACTTTCTTGTTGTTGGAAATTATTTGAAACCTGCCCCTTGTAATTTGCTTTGAATTAAATATTCATTAAAGGAAAAGCATTGAGATTCAGAAAAGAAGAGTGGACAAATAGTGAGAACACTTTGAAGTCATCTCAGATTTTAGGCTATTTGCCACAGTACCAACTGGTACAATTACTGGCACAGACGTGAGGTGATTTAGCAGGAGCTAAGCGAGGGGGGAGAGTGTTCTGAGTGGGTGGAGTAACTGAAACCTTTTAAAACAAGTTATTTGTTGTGAGGTACATTACCATGAGATGGTTGGACAATGGCTGTCCGCTTGTAATGTTTCTTTCGAGGAGTAATAATATGATGCATGAGGCAAAATATAAAGTCCCTTAATGGACTCTTGTTTGTTGCAGTGCCTTAATTAGCAGAACATCTTGAAAATATCATGCTAATTATAACATGACATTACAATAATAGATAAGATTTTACCCACTGCTTTTTCAAGTTTCAGAGCAGCTGTTCCTATAAAGGCTTTGTGTTGAAACAAGTACAATATGCCCACAAGGACAGCTGAAGACATTAACAATCTGAGGCTAATAGATGTTTTGTTCAAAATGATGTTTATAGAAATCTGGTATCTCTGCCATGTACTATTGCGTGGATTTGGGCAGGAAGAGAAAATTACACTGGAATAGTAAGATTCCTGGAAAACGGTAGTGTGAAATTTTGATGGGTTGTGCTGGGATGTTGCACATTGGAATTAAGGGTGCATTGTATTAACCCTTCACGATTGCGGTAACATTTCAGTCCACATTAAAAACATTTTTATTGAACATTGTTTATTCAGAGGAAATGGGAAGTAACTATATAGCTTGGCGATCTGTACTATGCAATTCTCGTATACCTTCTGCTGTGCGCAATTGGCTGCTGTGTTTTGCCCACAAAATACACAGTCACTACACTTTATAGCTTACTCTGTGAAGCGCTTTGAGACGTCTCAAAGACATGATAAGGCGCAAAATCAAATGCAAGCATTATTATCATCATACAGATCATATTCTGTTTTTATATCTCTTTTTATGTCAATTTTTTGCAGTGGCTTATTAAAAGAGGCAAATTTTATGTGTTGCTGAAAGAGTAAACAAGTTAGTTGCCGTACTGATAACGACAGCACGAGATAACTAAAAACAGTACACTGCACACCCAAAGTTTCGTAACTTTAAAAAAAAGACTCAATGCCACTGAAAGAAGAATGTGAAATAGGAATTGCCAAATTCACAAAGTATTACACAGACAATTACAGCTGCTTATGTACAACGAACACCATTCCTTTACAAGTTGGAAAGGGACAATATGAACCATTTAATCAATACACAGCTCTTTAACATTGTAAGATGTCATTTGTTTTCTTGTCATTCAAACGTGTAAGGTTTAGTTACATACTGGGCTCATCACCGACTTACATGAACAAATTAAAAGATGAAACGTCACAAAGCCAATTCCGAGGTAATCAGTACTTGTAACCTATTACTATATTAATTAACAGCTCGTCAGGGTGGGTGACCAAGTACTGGTGTGGGGCATTCATATGCACTAACAACTAAGAAAGGGGTTATTTAGATGTGCCTGATATGTGCTGAAAGTTCAATTCATCCATCGATATCAGCAGCAAGAAATCAGTCAGCATAACATAGTATATTAAAGGTACGAAAATTGTACAGAATTATTTTAAAGCACGTGACATAAATCACGGAGGTATACCCAGGGATCGATTCAGCTTACTGCCTTATCAATGCATTTATTTCCCAGTAAATACGTGTTAGCATATGTCAGGCATATCTATGAATCAGTGTTATTTTATTATTTATTGCTTTATCATTCAGGAAAGGGGGTTGCAAAGTGTTATTTGATTCACCTTCCCAGACATCATACAAATGACAGCCTGCAATTTTGAAAAGAAAAATGTATTTTATGAAACGTCTCATCTCACTGATGGGAGAGAATCAGAGAGAAACTGAAATAATAGTTTTAGAGAAATAATTACTACTTGAAAGGGTAAAAGGAAAGAGGTGGAGAATGACCCTAAACTGACCCATGGTGTCTCCAGTTCTTTATCCCTGACACAGAACAGCAAATGGTGGCCTGAGGTGTTTGACTGCAGTGGATGTCATGTGTTAGTATTTGTGTACAGTGCATACACTGCTATGTGCTGTAACTGAATTGAATACAGCATTTAGGGGAGGGTTCTCTCTCCCATCGTGTTTGTATAAAAGCAACATGAGCAGAATCAAGATTGTACTGATGCGTATCGAGTGATGAGCAAAGTCCCAAGGCTCATCGTACATCATGGATTATTTTCCTCTAACAATCCTGCTCAGGAATTACGTGCACTTCAAAAGCAACCTGTCTTAAAAAAAACAAATACGAGAGCATTTAGATTTCCATCTGAATTGTGGTACCAAGGACAGCGAAGCCAAGAAAACAGTGAAGTCAGTGCACGTGTGAGTGTGTGAGGAGGGTGTGTGTGTGGGGGGGGGAGTTGGAGAAGGTCTATCATAACCTTATTGTGCTAAAACTAGTGCTATATTGCTTCTTGGCTCGCTTGTGATTTTGAGTTGAGCTATTTAGGTGCGGCGGCCTTATGTTGGTTATTTATGCAGTAAAAATGACCAATACAACATTTGATCTAAAAAGTAATCCCATATTAGCCAAAGCATATTTCAGGAAAAGCTCATCCCTCAACTCAAAGAGAGCTACCCCCAAAACTGTTACCATGACGCTAATTAGCCTACTGTGTATTATACAATAGGAAGCAATTAATCCTTACAATGATCGGGCAATCCATCATTTTCAAATCTTTAAAATCCTGAGATCACGCCATTTCCTGGGCAAATCTCGGGCTATCATATTTTACACACCGGTCCTAAAGAACATTTTTGTAGGGAAAATTCCAGGGAGACTTGTACTCCAGGCAGCATTGCAGTGGACTCCTGTAGCTCAGTGGTTAGAGCACTCGCTTTGCAAGTGAGAGACCTGAGTTCAATTCCAGGCAGAGGGCGAAACCTTGGGCAAGTTTCCTTACTCCACACAGAGCCTAATAATAATCCCTCCAAAAACCAAAACAATAATAAATTGGTCATTTTTAATCTACGACTGTTTGTGGGACATTGCTGTGCGCAATTGGCTGCCGCGTTCGCCCACAAATATACAGTCAATTCACTTTACAGTGTGTTCTGTGATGCGCTTTGGGACGTCCTCCCGACGTGAAAAGCGCTATATCAAATGCAAGGATTATTTGCAAGGATTATTATTGCCAGGTGTACAAAATCATTTGGTGAGTAAAAATCTAACTGTTTACGAAGTGGGTAGGGGGCGGGGGCGGGCAGAGAGAAAAACACAGAGCAAACAGTGCAAATTTCTTGTGATCTTTGTATTTAAAAAAATGTAATTAAATCCTTATTAGAAAGCGCAGGACCCATGCAACCATCGTCTGAAGTCTCTTCCTCCTTTTTATGTGGTGGTGCTGTCTGTCAGATGCTTAAACATTTAGGCTAAATGCACTCAATATGCTCTCAGACACTCTCGCCCACAGAAGAGAATACAATGAATGGTGCAACAGCTGCACCTCTGCTTTCCGTGGATAAAAGAAGAACTAACAAACAGGAGGAGCACGTTTTCACAGCCACTAAAGCAGCCTCGCCAGTTGGTTTACATGACATCAATCATCAGAGAGGAACAAACACTCTCGGTGACGATGCCACAACTTTCTCCGTGCTTAAACCTCTGAAGCTTCGTATCGTGCCTGAAAGCGATTATGATCAGGCTTGTCCTGAGAGAGGGAGAGAGGTGAAGTGTGTCTATCGTGAAAATAGGGAAATTGGAGCAAAACTCCCCAAACGAATGAGAAATGACCTCCCCCCCCCACCCTCAAAAAGATTCTTCTTAAAAAAAACATTACTGACAATATCCCGCTGTCACAGTACTCACTGCCAGGAGAGAGAGCACCAGCCTGAGCTCTACACTTGTGGGCATTTGGAGTTGAGATACAGATCAGCTGCAATCTAATAGAATGGCAGAACAGTTTGGAGGAGCTGAATGGCCTACACCTGTTCCTGCCTTCTCCACATTCTGCCATGACTCTGTGTTACACCTCCTGGTCCCCTCTAGGCATCTCACGCACAGCGATATCTGTGGCATCCACGTATGCTACCTTGTACTTTGCAGGTTGCTACCTCCTAATGCTAGTGCAGCTATAGGCACCCTCCAACCTCTCTACCCTCCCTCACCCCAACTCTGCCCCCCCCACCATGCTTGGGTCCTAATCCCCGGCTGCCTTGGGACATCCTCCCGACGTGAAAAGCGCTTTACACATGCAATTTTGTTATTGTTGATAGCATGAATCCTGCTATAGCACATGCTTGCAAATAGCCACAGACTTTTTAATTAAAATTTCCAGATTAATTGCAATTACACAGCACAGGTAACACTCCTTTTCCTAGCCTTTACCATATTGTTCTGGCATCTCTCAGCTAACCTTAATCTTACTGCTCTTGATCTCTTTCCTGGCTTGTTTCTCTCTGTGCTTCTCAGCTCTCTCTCTCTCTCTCTCCAAGGTCTCTTTTATTTGCATCTGGCAAAGTCTATTAAAAGGCTATTGATCTCCACTTCAACAGTCACCAAAGCAGCACTGCCAATTGT